CTTGTTTGGTAGATTGTGAAACAGTTAATTGTTCACAGTTGATCGAAGATGAAGTCTTCGTTTGATTAATATTGTCCTGAAGTTCTGTGAATAAGCGGAAAACAAGTTCTATTGTATATGTGTACATAAAGAGTACAGAAAAGTATAAATGAAGTATAAAGACTGGTGATCCCTTCGTATTCAGTAGCCTGGATTAAGACCCAGATATTCGCTTTACATCCTTTCTTTTTCCTAAACTATGCCCTCACCTAGAGGAGAGTTGAGTAGGACTTCCCAAGCATAGGCTATAAACTTGTGACTAAAGGTTGGATCGAGGTAATCCATCCACATATACCAACATAAATTAACCAACTTCAGTCCTGAATATTAACAACGGGATAAACTATTACCAAAAATAAGTATATTTTATTCGAGAAGTCAGCAAAACAAATAAAGTATTTAAAAAAACGATTAAATTTCAACTCACTTGGAGTCGAGTTCGTATTGTCTGTAAATGAACGAGACGAGTTTGATCGAGTATAGTTTGTTGAAAGCCTTTTTTTAGGAGGTGGACGAATTTTTCTCTGTATCACAATATTATTAGTATTATTATTACTGTTGTTATTAATACTACTATTCTGTGAAGTAGAGGTTGGATTCCAAACATCTGTGGTACAATGAGTTGATAACTTTGAAGGTTGGATGGCAATTAAATGATCTGTAGGGCGACTAAGAGGTACATTATTGTTGGTGGTGGTAATGGTTGTAGTGGTTATGTTATCACCTGAGACACATTTATTCAAATCATTCGAAATCTTATCTTCCACTACGGTATTTGAGGATGCATTTAAGTTACTGATTGGTCCAACTGAATGTTCAGTGGATGATACACTAGACATTGACTTATCACTTGTTTCCTTCTCTTGTTTAGACATCCAACGAGAATGGTGTTCAGCGATTTCATCACCTGAAGAGTAATTGAAAATAACTAGTTGTGTGATTAATTTTAGATTACGGTGATATCTTTGTTACAAATATGTGGGAAAATAGATTTAAGAATATTTCAAAAAAAAGATTTACAGCGGAAATAATTCCCTTGACAGTAAAATGCCACCTCATAAGTATACAATAGAAAAGAGATTCCCAATTCGGGTCAGATGTCTTGAATCGCTTTCATTCACCAGTCTTTTTTTAAAAAAATTCATAAAATAATTATAAGTGTAAACTAGACATCATGAAAAAAGCTTTCAAAGCTTTCAAATAAAGTGTTTAGGCTGACCGATTACACAAGAATACAGTTCATATTCATTCAGTTCATTTCGCTCAATATCCATTATGAAATTGTTAACCTAAAGTAGAACACATCAACAGTAGAAAAATGATGTACAAATCTCAATTCTTAATAAGATCAGCTACAACCTTAAATGGATCATAGCAAGCCCACTAACCACCAAGACAAATTATGCTGGTTTACACCTTATAGCTGAAGTGACTTAAACATACAACTTTCATGATCAAATAACTTTCAAAGTTTAAAAAACTACAAACGTAAGGAAGTGAAGGCAAACATTTAAGTAGGATTACATGAAGCCATTAGATTTAGTTAGGTCCTCATCAGATGCTTACATACCTATGGCATTTTAAAATTAAAATTATCTCATAGAAGTTAACATTCTAATACAAGTGAATTTGACTAGAAGTGAATATGTATCATATGTGATAAAGCGAAGATTCCAATAAAATTAAAAAGATTGAAAAATTGTCCCACATGTATACAGTGTGAGAGAGGAAAATCTAGGACATCAAACTAGTTACTAAAGTTCATTGAGCTAAAAATTTCTGTTGATTACGTGATGAACCGACTGAACACAGGTTAATGGTGACAAGAGATAAATTGAATTAAAATTAGTTAAGTAGAAATAAATTTGAAAGAACTGGAAATGATGTAATCGAAATATCCTGAACCCAAACTGATTGCATTATACAAAATAACATGTTTTTTAACGAAATTAAAAATCGATAGGTATCTCCTTCATGTTATCGACGACTATGTGTATGGATTTAAATGCATCTGTTAAAGCAGTTACATTGGTGGGACAGAAGAAAGGGTCTACGATCAATTGAAAGAACATATTCCAAAATGTCCGAGGTCGGACTGGTCAAAGACTTTCAGTAGTACTATTTAAAGACATTCATCTACTTGAGACAGGATATCAAAATGATAAAATGAAATCCTTCAAAGTGACTAATAAATGATTAAACTCTGATTTTCTGAAATTTGCTAAAGCCATAGCTTTCGCAAGATTGAAACAAAACTTCTGTTTTTAAAAAAGTGACATATCTTTATTAACAGTAATGAAATTATACTCACTCGAGTATCTGTACAGTATTAGAGTTTCCTTTTACCAAACAACAAACAGGTAGCCCATTCTGAACTACCATACACGAATGTTTTACCTAACAAGTAACCATTTCAGAATGCTAAAAAAACGAACGTATACCCTTGCGATTCAATAGATGAAATCCAAGCAATCAGGATCAATTCTTTAAAGATATTGTCAGTTCAATAAAATTTAAGCAAATTAATCCTTTCTTATCTGCTACTTGAATTTGTAACTAACATTTAAGTAAAAATAAGAAAAACAAATTTTCACTTTCATCAGAAGATCTAACGAAACATATTATAACATTCTGTCGTTTGTTTCCGGAGTCGTTGTATTACGCACTGGATTGAATCACAAGTATCCGAACCGAGTCAGTTTGGTTTAAAAATTAGATGAAAGAGAATACAGATATATGATTGGTTAATATCTCAGCTAATTTTCAAGAATCTGATTGGTCGGTAAACGAACAAAAGAGCGTGGGGAGTGACATAGATGAAGTATGTATAAACAAGACAATAAGTCGGCGTAGCTGGGTTAGAACTAACTATCGATCGTGCCTAGAACATTGATAAACTATATTCAGGCAGATAATGGTGAATAATGAAAAATTATAACTAACAATAATTTGCAATACACAAATTAAAATCCTTTTACAATTACTGAGAGGGATACAACGTACAAGTACTAATCGAAACGAATCCATTTATCAAAACTACTCCACCATGATTAGCCTTTCACGAAAATCAAATCAAATCTATTTTGCTCTATTGAGTTGCATGTTCAAAGTAAACAATAGTGAAATTTTGATTTCATCCGTAAATAAACTGATCAACAGCCAGTTGAATTAAAATCTTACAAATAATCTGTCAATACATTCTGTGCAAAGTAACATCGATAAAAGTAATAAGTTTCGATTATATAATTAAGAATTCGGAAATAAGTTTCAAACTACTCTTACTATAAGATGAGATGTTAAGTTGGATGATATTATACAGATGTTTCGCTGTATAGTAAAAATGTTGAAAAATATATTGGGAGCATGCTAACGAAAATAGAGATTTAATATCTTTTAATGTTCAATTATACCGACCCATGATAAGGAATTTTTCTAATTACGGGTTGATGTAAGAAAACTAGTGAAGCAGTAATCCTTCGCGGATGATGACCGGCAGTAATGATCGGTAAAGATTTAAAAATAATAAATGACTTTTCTATTATGGCTAATATATAACGATAAAACTTTTTAATTGGTACTAAGTGTGAACAATCAGTCTTTAAGCCTCCACAAAAGTGAAAAGACATAGGAAAATAATATAAATAAACAAACATGCAAGTTAGTACAAAAATGTTGGCAAACTTCATAGCAGTCATCGTAACTGAAAAATTATTCGTAAGTAAACTCAAACATAAATTTCAATTTATGCACTTGAATTAGTTTTGAAGTTTACATAAGGTCGAAAACTTTATTACTTGTTCATGATAAGTTGATAAACATTTAATATTAGTTAGTGAAGCAACTTACATCGATCATAGAAAGTGAGAGTTTTCCAAATGCAACTTCAAGCATTTCCATTCATAGATATCGAAAGAATGCAAAAAAATCAATAGTTCAACAGTGCAACATATTTTCAAGTCTGTTCACACCGGCCCACCATAAATATCTTTAAAAACCATCTACGGGGTCAACTGATTGCGGTAGGAGGGGTACAAATCAATAACTCGTGCACTGTGGAGGCGCTAGTAACTCAACTCAAAGCTGGACTCTGTATGTAAAAGTAGCATGTGCAATCTCTCTCTCTCTCTCTCTGCATACTAGTTGTTAAAACCTAATTTTTGCTTCCTTGTCTTTTTAATATTCATTAAAGGGACAATTATCGTTCAGACATTTCTTCTCAACTTATTATTTTTGTTTATCCCCTAAAGTTACCCTATCATCCTGTGATTCCTGAAATTTCCATGTCCCCAAAACCATCAGCAACAAACTATCGTGAAAGAGAACAATTCACATTCCAGGTAAAAAGTAAATGGAAGCAGGTAGGGTACATATTACGGAAATCATAAAACTGCGTCAAAAAACAAGCTATAACTCGGGATCATCAAGGTAAAAAGAAAAGAGACAGGCCAAAGAACACAATACACCGGTAATTGGAAGCAGAAATCAGAGGGATGGATAGCAATTGCAAACAACTAGAAAGGCGAGGCCAAGAAAGAGTTGGTTTGAGAATACTGATCAGTGGCCTGTGCTACACGAGAGGCAACAGGCATAGGTAAGTAAGTAACTGATAACCATCAGTTAGTATATTTAAAATCAACATTGAACACATATTACTCTTCAAACAATCTAAGTAATCTCTTACTAAATTCGTCTTACAATATAGTAAAAAAAACTGAGTAAAAAGCAAAACAAACCTTGAGTTTTCAACTCCGTTATAGTGTTGTTAATATCAGTATTATATGGCGTATCTCTCTTTTCACATGAATTATTCACTTTTGGTGCATTATCTAATTCCATCATAATTTGTCCCATATTCAAAACCATATCATCAGTACTTCCACGAGCTAATGATAGAATGGTTCGTGCAGCCTGTAATTCATCTTGACTACGATCATGATATTCCAATGAATTAGATGTTATATTTATATCATGTGTGTTAAAAATATAATCTTTTGATAAACAGTTGTTAAATTTGTGTAAGCTTCCTGATTCCCTTTACCGGAATTCACTGAAGATAATGAGGAGGATGGCACTAGAAAGAATGACAATAAAATGTAAATAAATGCCTGTCCATTATCTTGGTTTTACTAAACATTTTAAAAAATCAATCCTTAGAACAATAACATGAAGACTATACATGAGTGACTGACAGTGTTATATTAGTAATTTGATATCATTCGAGTAATTTTAATTCTATGTAACTCGGTAACTTTTGTAAACTAGTAAATAGATTACAGAAACAATTGTTCCGGCTGAAGAACATTGAGACATAATGAATGGTGACGGCTGTTTCATGACTGAAGAACTCAACATTCAATCAAGTGGTTTCAATCCCGCTCTGTTTACTTCGATTTGAACAACTAGATAATGTATCACTGGTCATCACAAACAAAACGATGCAATTCAAAGCTGATAAGATAAGCTAACATGTTACTTATTTATTATTATTTATTCATCTATTTGAACACATAAATATTGGTACAAGAGGGCACCAAATATATATATGCGCCACACAAACAATGAGAATGGGAAGAGAAGAAAAAGGTAAGGAGCTTAATTTCTTATTAAGCTAACATGTTGTGACAAGATTTTTGAAAACGATACTTACCTTTTATTAAAACATTCAGAAAAATACTCAAATGAGTCACTTTCATACAACCAGAAACATTCTGATGGCTTAAATGCAATCTAATATCTATTACCATATTGCCCAATTTCTTTTTATTTTCAAGTATAAAGATTTCAAAATTCATTGTCAGTCTAATCAAACTTATCACGTTTTTTGCACACATTACAATGACTAATATTGGATGGTCGTATGTGTAAGCAAGTTCACACAAACACTCATATGAAAGCCCAATACAAGTGAAAGTATTCCACCTTTAATAAAACAAAACACACAACGTTATTTGCTTGATTTACATACATAGAATAACATGAAGTCAAGCTGTACATTAAAGTGAATGAAACAGAGAAAACCGAGTTGTAGAGCCTTTAGAGTCAACAGTCCAGAATATATCTTAGCGAAATTTTAGAGATAACATTTCATTGTCTTGTTTTTATTATCTTCAACTATTTTTCAGAAGTCAACATGCACAAAAAAATGGCAAAAACACTCACAATGGGAAGGTAATCATAAAATGATGCAGTTTCAAATTCAATACAAAATCTTTCTGAGACTTATATAGCCTAATTAAAAATATCATAACTTTTGATAGATTTTATTCCAGTGGATATATTCATCATATATTTTAAAAATAGTAAACCCTTATATAGCAAAACTTGTAGATTTATCTTACCCCTATAGAAATTGGTATGTACTGAATGCAACTCTATTCAGTTGAGAATACATTTCAACTATAACACAAATGTAACCAAATTTCAATTTAATTATGAAAAACATGATAAAATGTGTAATTCATTATGTAATATCTGATTTGTATCCATCAACATTCTAATTCTTTTTTTCGACACTAAAATGTTCATGTCAACTTCATTGTGTGATGCCCTTTAAATAATCAACATATACTAATAAGACAATTGCGAATAAAAATTACAAGTTACAATAAAATGAACGCCATAGTGTATTTGAGTAGCTTTTGCTACCTTTAAAAAAATATACCCAATACAAAAAAAGCTATAGAGAATAGTATAAATAAATCACTTCCAGTTAAATTATTCGTTACAACAAAACAAAGATCAATGTCAGGAGAAAAGTTTCTGAAAATTAATAAGTGCTGAACACATAATTAATCATCAGTTTCTAAATCCAGCGAAAGATCCATTGAAATAAACTTTCACAGAAACACTAGAATAAACAAAAAAACAGCTACTGAGTTTTAAATAGAAACAATCTTGAAATAATTATGCCAGAGCGTAGTATATTGTATTGTCACAAAAGAAAGAGATAGAATTTATATATATATATATATATATATATATATATATATATCCGTTGGTCGGATACCATCAGCAACAAACTATCGTGAAAGAGAACAATTCACATTCCAGGTAAAAAGTAAATGGAAGCAGGTAGGGTACATATTACGGAAATCATAAAACTGCGTCAAAAAACAAGCTATAACTCGGGATCATCAAGGTAAAAAGAAAAGAGACAGGCCAAAGAACACAATACACCGGTAATTGGAAGCAGAAATCAGAGGGATGGATATAATATTTATCTGTAAGATAATATAAAAGAGGATGAAACTTCCCTCCTTCACCCATATACATTTAAGGAGGATATTATACTTTGAGTCTGACTATTTATGAGATCAATTTTTCACCAAACAGTAGACTTACAGCTCTGTTACTTTGGTACATACTTTTCAACCGGTATATCACAGTTTTGAACATTGTTGTCGGTGGGGACGTTAGATACCCAGAAATCACTTGAGAAAGGACCTAATTTTGTAACTTATTTAGAAATTTTGAATTTCTTTGTTTTCGCGCCGAAGGCGCTCTTGTCATCTTCATGTCGTATTTCCCACTGGGAAATATCTTAAGTGCTATTGGTCCGTTGCGTCTCTTAGTATGCTATTTGGTAACTCTCCCCAAGGACGGTTTCGTACTGTATATATACGTTTTGAATTGTGTTTGTTGTTATCGCTCGTTTTGTCTGTTTGCAGAATATACTTCCCCATTCCAAGCTTGGATTTCTCCCTCTAGTTAGCGGGGCTGGGACGCATCAATAGCTAGCTTACTGGTCTTTGGTCACCGAGTCTTGTTTCTCGTTCGCAGATTAAGTGAACTCGTGATGGCTTCAACCCTAATTTGTTCTGCTTAACGAGGTTTGAAATACCCAGTAGTGAACAGACTAGTCTACTCCACATGAATTTTGTTCATGCACTAATAAAGTTATCATTTTTGTAATGCGTGTATATTCGATGTTGATGGTTAACACTGTCATTTAAAGACAGTTATAATGTGAATTCAGTAATTACTAAAGTCGTTTTTAATATTCATTCATTTTGTCCCTGGATTATAGCAAACATGTGTCAAAGTGAGTCAACCACTGAGTTATCATAAATAGTCTATCAACAAGGATGAACTCCGATACGCTAAACAAGGAATAATAAAAAAAATTGATGATGTGAAAAAAGAGAAGTATTCTAAGAAATTCGGTTTCATTAGTAAACTAGGTTACATAATTTAACAGTTTGACTGATAACAAATATACTTACTTAATATAGAGTCTGTAGATAGATAAGATGATGATGAAGTGAGTGGTAACGATGAAGAAGCAGTGTTTAATCCTGTTAAATATTCTTTTGCATTACAATTATTCATCCCATCAAATACTGTGCTATCATCACCAATCAGTGAATTGGTATTCAATGCTGAAATACACTGTTTCACAGCCAATTTATTTGCACAAACCAAAAATTCAATAGTTTGATTGGGCGAAAGATGGAATTTTAAAATTCCCGTAATAGATGATTTACGAGGTGAGAAATTTGCATCATTTGCTTCGTTTGGTTCGTCATTCAAATATGTGATGAAATTGTCTGGTTTTAGAGGCTAACATTTAAAGTTGACAGAACAAATGAGGGAGCAAAAAACAAAGAAATTTAATTCAGCGACACATTTTTTTAAAGTTTGCAATAAATTAGTTAGCCTCGGACCTTCTGAGGTTAGTTACAAAGTTAATTTAATTTTTTTTGAGGGAGATCGATTAGTCGAGTAAAAATATGAATCCCACTGAATGTGGATTACTATTCACATCAACAGATAGTATTGAGGTAAAAAAAATACAATGGGGCTTTACTATTTATTATCATCATCAGTGAGTTATGCAATCAGTTTACCTTACTTTAAGATGACACAAAATCTATGTCCGAAAAAAATTACTTGTTTTGAAGTAGTGGAAGGAGTAGAAGTTAAGTTTAAGTGATTCCTGTATAATGAAGGTTAGTATTAGAACTCTGAACAAAAAAGTATCCGTTAGTTATTATATCTGTATTTCTAAACATAATGAATTCTGCTGATCCAAGTTAAGGTTGAAGAGACTATTAAAAAAACTACTGTGATTGGAATAACCAGTTATTAACTATTATACAGGACATTCAGTAAAAATGTGAAAATAATGAACCTAGATTTGATTACTAAATTACACTGAAGTTATATCTGAAATACTAAACTATGAAATCCTTCAGTAAACAGGACACGTGAACTTTTGCGATGTGAATTTCTCGAATTAATAGACATATACAACACATAAACTCAAGAGAAGTACAAAATAAATCTGGGCAGAATAAAAAGTAAATACTCTTGTACAATAAAAACAAATAAGTCGAAGCACATTCCCTCAAAACCACAGATAGTCCTCCCTGGTGAGTGCCAAATAGTACGAAATCTAAGTCCTGAGTTTCTTGTCGACTACTTTCAACCAACTAACATTGGTCACGATTATCGCGTGGAATCTTAACAGATAGTCTGAACTTCACTACATGAGGTTCAAACCAATGACCAGACTTCATGAACTGATGCCATGTCCTGGTTTGACGCCCTCTTTTTTTTTCCCAAGAGACTCCTGCACTAGCACTGAAATAATAGTTCAGTTACTCTTCTTTTGCAGAAGAAATTCAGAGATAAATCATCATCCATTCAAATAAAAATAAATACTCACATAAAACATTTGTAATTTGATTAGATAGGTTTCAGTTAGTTAATATTCTAAAATAATTTTTCAGAAATGTTTTCAGCCATACGATGTATTCGAATATGACTCAGTTAACTTTGACCTCACTTTGACCTTTCACAATAAGTATACAATTTAGTAAACTCATATGTTTCTGTATTCGCAACAAATAAGGGTAAATTTATTTTTGTCAAGGAAATTTAAAAAATAGTTTAATTATCAGCTGGTTACATGTTTTCCAAATTGTTCCACGTTAGACTACCGCATAAAGTTTGGTGTATATGGTACTACAGAACCTGAAAGTGAGAGAACATTGGGCTTTTTAATTTGCACTCCGATTTCTAATGAGTTGTGATATGATATCAAAATATCTAATCAATTCAAGATTAACTTCAATCAGCCAAATTGCATTGACATTTTATCTCGATCCTAGTACGGAATAAACTAATTATCTACCATAGTTTATATTCCATTTTGTTTATTTGAATATCAACAAAGTAGCACCCCAAACTTTATACAGCAAAGTGATTAAATATAGATTGTGGTTGCTGAGTTGTAAAGTCAGTTTGATGATTTAATGTAAATTATGAAATAATTTTAAGTAAATGAACATACACGTTACATAACAATACGACTACCTCTCTTATATGTAAATAGAAAAGTTAACTACAGTTATTAACGCACTCTTAAATATTCTAAACAATAAGATAGTAATATTCATACAGAAATACATAATACCTTAATTCATTTTCAATTGACTATAAATAACTATTTCAAGATTACAAATGAATGTTAATCGAATAAAAAGTGTTAAAAAGCTTCTGTGTTGTTATTTATTTTTTATTTGAACACATAAATATTGGTACAAGCGGGCACCAAATATATATGCGCCACACAAAACAATGAGAATTCGAAGAGAGAAAAAAAGAACAATAACGAAGAGATTGGAGTAAGGTAGTGTAATAATAATAATAATAGTAATAGTAATAATGGGGGAACGGAAAGGTACAACCAGAAGGAATCTTTCAGTTAAGGAAGATACAACCACTTTTTATGAAGAAAGTAAAAGAAAGTTACAGCAGGATCGCCACTGGCTTCTATTCTGAGCCATATCTGATAACGTCTCTAGCCACTGTGTTGCACCATCTCTAGGACCCTAGCCAGCCCTTTGTAGCTTTCTTTCATGCCACGACACCATGTCATGCACTGACCACCTCTCCGCTTCTTCCAACCAGTCCCAGAGTCGGCAAATAATGCACGACGTGGAATTCTCTGGGACGACATTCGGAGAACATGTCCAAGCCACCGAAGTCGGTGTTTCAAGATGGTGACACCAATTGATTATCATCTCTGTGCCCGAACACACGATGCCGAACCTCTGCATTACTGACATGGTGTTGCCACTGAATGTCAGCAATCCTTCGGAGACAGCGATGATCGAACACAGAGAGTCGTCTAACGTCCTCAACTCGGAGAGGCCAGGTTTCACAAGCATAGAGCAAAACTGCTCTCACCGACGCGTTGTAGATCCGACCTTTTACAGCCAGACTAACATCACGAAGGCGCCAAAGGTGGCCCAGATTGGCATAAGCCGCTCTGGCTTTCACTATTCGTGCATTGATCTCATCACTCACACCCCACCAGCACTTATGCAGCTACCCAGATACACGAACTTCTCAACTACGTCTATCTGCTCACCATCCAGGGTGAGTACAGGATTAGAATCCTGCCAGTCTTGTAGAAGTACTTTGCACTTCGAAGGTGCAAAGCACATACCATACCTACGGACACTGATTGCCAACTGATTAAGTGCGGATTGCATGCCTTGGGCATTATCGCACAGTAAGACAATATCGTCCGCATACTCAAGGTCGAGAAGTCTTTCTCCAGGCAACAGATCCACACCACCATTACTTACATTCATCAGAGCTGTTTCCAGAATGTCATCGATGGCAAAGTTGAAGAGGAATGGTGAGATTGGGCAACCCTGCCTAACCCCACTGCTCGAATGGAACAATGGAGAGAGGTGGTTGTATGCCCTCACTCTGCCTGAGGTGTTTTTATATAGGGCTTTTAGGATGTTAATAAACTTCTCAGGCACACCCTTCTTCAATAGACAATCCCAGAGAACAGTCCTGTCCAACGAATCGAAGGCAGCCCTGATGTCAAGAAACACTACGATTGTTGGCCTTTGATAAGTATGGCGGTGTTCTAACATTTGGCGGAGGGTGAAGATATGATCAATACATCCTCGACCAGAACGAAACCCAGCCTGCTCCTCGCGAGTCAATCTTTCTCGGGTTTTGAACAACCTACGAAGAATGACGGAAGCCAATAGCTTGGACGCAATCGGAAGTAGACTTATCCCCCGATAGTTGTTACAGGAACGACGTGAACCCTTTTTAAAGATAGGGACAACTATCGACTCATTCCATGACGTTGGTACACTCTCTAGTTCCCAAACCTTTGTAAACAACGTCGTCAATTCCTTAGTCAAAAAGTCACCACCATCTTTAAAAAGAGCCGGAGGTAAGTCATCTGGGCCAGGTGATTTGTAACGCTTCAAGAGTTGGAGTTCCTTGCGGACTTCCTCCTCATTTGGTGGATCAGTCGTCACCGGCCATGGAGGGCAGGACAGTCTGACCGATGTTGCCGGAGCAGCAGGCCAGTTGAACTGCCCTTCGAAAAATTCTGCCCATCGTCCAAGACGTCGATGGATGTTAGTGATTGGCATCCCATCATCCTCGCAGATTGTTTCACTCACACCAGACTTCTTGCTGCCAGTGGCTCGGATGAGTTGGAAGAGCTTCCGGTAGTTACCAGATGCAGCTGCTGCTTCCAGCTCATTAGCACGCATCGACCACCAGGCTTCTCGGTCCTTACGCAAGCTTTGCCCAATTTCCTTACGTAACATCCTTCGTTTATGGTCAAACTCACGGTCACCCGGAGTAGACCGACGGGCTTCAATGAGTTGTAAGGAACCAGAAGAAACCCAGTGCTTAAAGCGGGACGTTTCGCAAACCCACAACTGACTGTTCCCGCCATTTTCATGGCGTCATGCAATTGCAACCAATGCTCATCTATACTTTTCGGTGGAGTGGTAGCTAGCCTAGAGGCTAGCTCGGTTCGATACTTACTTGCAACAGAAGTTGCAACCAGCTTGCTAACATCAATCCGTTGATGGCGGTCACTTCGTTGTCCACTGAAAAGTAAGGCAAGATTGGCGCAGACCAAGGCATGGTCAGAGTCCAGATAGGTACTCCAAAAGGAGCGGCAGTCTTGTACACAACCACGCCAGCGGTAGCTGATCGCGACTTGAGATGCAGAGGGAGGACGCCAGGTGGCACATCGGCGATGACTGTGCCGAAAGTTAGTGCTAGCCAGAAACAGGTTGTGGTCTGTGCAAAGTTGCAGTAGACGGTCCCCGTTATCTGACCTGCGACCAACGAGTCCCCATCGGCCACCTAAACGACTCTCTTCTGTGCCTAGACGCCCGACCTGAGCATTCAAGTCTCCGGCTAGTACTACAATATCTGTCGAACGCACTTTCTGGAGAAGAACAGTAACTGGTGGTAAAACTCATCCTTGATTGCATCCGGGCTGCAATCTGTCGGGGCATAGGCGGAGATGACGAAAAGACATCGTTTCTCACGCCGATTTCTTCTCACTTTGATGGAACTTTCTAATCTAACAGCACATAACCGACTGTTAATGGGGATCCAATCGACTAGTGCTGCCTCAGCTCTAGCGCTTAGTGCGACACCAACGCCAGCAAGACCAGACGAAGATGCCACAGGGTCCCCGGATAAGCGCACGTAAAACAAGCTTTTCGAAGCGACAGATGGAGATCGAATTTGTAGTACTTCGCCAGAGTCTTGAA